ATAGATAGATAGATAGATAGATAGATAGATAGATAGATAGATAGATAGATAGATAGATATGAAAAGATCAAGCAAGGTTGTGCACACTTGTTATCCCAGCTCCGGGGAGGCAGAAATGGGTAGATCCCCAGGGTTCACTGGGTAGCCAGTCAACCTGGCAAGATCCTGGCCAGTGGGAAAACAAAAAGGTATATGAATGAGGACTAGCACCAGAGAAACTGAGCTGTCTTCTGGCCTTCACAAGCGTGCACATAAATGTATGTGTGCATCTGCAAACACATAAACATGCATATGCACACACACACACATACAAAGATATTGACCTCTTTCTAAAAAATATTTATTTGTTCTTATTGCAGGTGTATAGAAGAGTGCACACATGTAAGTATATGCACTATTTATGTGTCCAGTGGCTGCAGAAGCCAGAAGCTAGATCCCTAGAGCTAGACTTATGGATGGTTGCCAGCTACCATATAGCTGCTGAGCACCAAACCTGGGTCTTTTGCTGGTGCGGGGGAATTGTCTGTATTCTGTCAATCTGTTTATTTTGAATAAACGCTGACTGGCCAGGCAGGAAGTAGAGGCGGGGCGAAGAGAACAGGAGAATGTTAGGAAGGAGGAAGCCCATTCCTCCCAATCCTGCCCAGACCACAGAAGAAGCAAGATGTAATCTGTCCCACTGAAAAAGGTATGGAGCCATGTGGCTAGCATAGATAAGAATAATGGGTTAATATAAGCTACTTGAACTATAAGCAGCCTGAGCTAATGGGCCAATCAGTTTTATAACTTATGGAGATCTCTGTGTGATTTTCTTTGGGGCCTGCCGGCTGTAGGGTACCGGGCGGGACAGATACCCCAACAAGCCGGTCCCTCTTGTTACACTTTGCAAGAGCACCAAGTGCTGTCAAGCACTGAGTCATCTATCCAGCCCAATACTGATCTCTTTTATATCAGCCTGGCATAGCATACCAAATGCTATGCATATTTAGTATATTTATGCAAATTTTCATGTTTATATCAATGTCATATCCAAATTTAGTGTATTAAGTGCCCAACCTCCTTAATAAATGATATGTCATAGTTTCATTTCTTTTTGTGTATGTGTGTTTGTCTATATAAATTATTGTGCACCACATGCATTCAGGAACTCGTGAGGCCAGAAGATGGTTTCAGATCCTCTGGAACCAGAGTTACAGGGAGTGGTGACCCACCATGTGGGTGCTATGAACTGAACCTGATACTCTGCAGGAGCAGTAAGTGCTCTCAATTTCTGAGCCATTTCTCTAGCCCATCTCCTTCCCCAAAATTAAGTGCTTTGACAATAGTATTCTTCCTCTTCTTCATCATCATCACTGAGATTAAGTAATTTGACAAGTATTCTTCTTCATCATTATTAACATCATCATCAAGACAGGATCTCACATAGTTCACACTGGACTTGAATTTACTATGTAACCAAGGTAACTTCAACTTCTGATTCTTCTACTCCCAACTCCAAAGTACTACAATTGCAGGCATAAACTAAGCATGCCCAGGTTTTATGTGGTGCTAGGCTTTAAGTATGCTAGGCAAGCATTCTACCAAATGAGCTACTACATTCCTAGCCCTTTATTCTGAAATAGATGTTTTAAAATAGTGTCATGACCTGCAGATAAAACTGTCACGTGTCTTGCAATTGACAGGGCAAATGCCCAAGTAAGAGACTTGATAAGCAATTCAGAATTAAATTTTTTGACATTTGATTATCCAAACACCTTTAATTGATATAGAAGACTTAAAAAAATAAAGAATCTGGGGGCTGGAGAGATGGCTCAGTGGTTAAGAGCATTGCCTGCTCTTCCAAAGGTCTTGAGTTCAATTCCCAGCAACCATATGGTGGCTCACAATCATCTGTAATGAGATCTGGTGCCCTCTCTGGCCTATAGGCACACATGTAGGCAGATATTGAATGCAAAATAAAATGAATAAATATTTTAAAAAAAAAATAAAGAATCTGTATGGTTCTACCCTATGAAAATGTTGTTAGACAATCACATGAAAGACAACACAGCTGATGTAGAAATGCACCGCAGACAGAATTATAACTCTCACAGATCACAGCACCTGTCTTCATGACAGCATCACTCACCTGCCTCCTTGGCCAAAGGCTTTTGCCTGGCCAGGCTGATCTTCACACACAGGAGAAATTATATCAAACTGTATTGGAGTATCTGGGGCAACAAGAGAATCTAGAGAAAGGGAAGCCAAATTTGCAGACTCTGATCCCAAGGATCCTGAACTGCTGGTCCGAGCTGTGGATGGTCGAGATGGTCTAAAGACAAAGGAAAACAAAAAGGCACTGAATTTAGTTTTTTTTATTTCAGAAGTGCAATGCTTAACAGACTACAAAAAAAGAAAACAGTATTTTAAGTCAATAAAAGTATAAAGCAAATTCCAATAAAAAGCATTACCAAGGCAGGTATAGAAGCACTGACCTGCTATCCTAGCACTTAGGATGTGAAGACACAGGGGCACAAATCCTGGGCTGGCCTGGTCTTCAAAATAAGACCCTGACTCAAAAAGTAAAAGCTTAATCCCAAATCAGCTAGCTATTTATTTAGTAAAAGATTCCTTTCTTATTGGATGGTGGTGGCGCACACCTTTAATCCCAGCACTCAGGAGGCAGAGGCAGGCGGATCTCTGTGAGTTCAGGGCCAGCCTGGTCTACAGAGTGAGTTCCAGGACAGCCAGAACTAAACTAAACAGTGAAACCTTGTCTCAAAAAAACAAAACAAAAAAAGATTCCTTTCTTTCCAATTAAAAAACATAAACTGGGACTTAGGAGATGAGTCAGCCAATAAAGTCCCTGCTACCTAAGCAAGAGAACCTGGGTTTTAGTCTTAAATTCTTGTACTTTAACAGTACTACTTACATAAGTACCAGATCATCTCTGAATAACAGAAGAATATTTTCAAAACAGTAAATTCTCTAATAAAGGATGTGTGTGTATATGTACACATTCACATATATGTGCCTGTGCAGGCCAGAGATTAATATGGTGGAGAATTTTATTTTTGAGACAGGATCTCTCACACACCTGGAGCTTATTTAACTGTCTGTTACACAGCCCCATATACTAACTCACCCTGCGGGACGCAGGCTCTCATGTCTCTGCTGGAAAGATGGGGAAGGAGTGACAGCTTCCAGAACAGACTGATTTACTCGTGCAGCAGTTTCCTATTTTGTTTTGTTTAAAAAAAAAAAAAAAAAAAAAAAACAAAAACGATTAGTATTAATAATATAAGAAACTAAAAGTTTGGTATATTTCTCAAAACGGTCACTAAGTTTTTGAGTTACATTTAAAATACAAACTAAAGCTATTGAAATATTTCCATTCTCTGACCTTACTAGTAAGGTACATTAATCTCAATCATTATGAACTTCCTATAACTGAAGAATACTTCTAATTTCTTTCTAAGAACACACACAATAAGAAAATACTCTTCCATTAATTCTTAACTACCAGTTATCTTGGATTAAGGTTTGTACTATCACCAAGCACACTGCCTAATTCAAAATATTTTATAGAACATAAAAGTTTAGAAATAGAAAATACTCATTAAATATAAAAGAACTCTTCTAGAATAGTTATTAATTCATGAAATTATTGTAAATATCCTGGATGGCATCTCATTTTTACAAAAACAAAATTCTTTTTCTAAATGAAAAAATCTTTAAATTTAAAACCTGGAAGTCATCTTTATCATTCTCTTATTTACCTTTTACTCAGTCAATTACTAACTAGTCCAGACTCTCCTATCAAATCCACCATTACATCAATGGGAGCCTAAGCTGGGCATGGTGGCACATACCATTATATGGGTTGGGGAGAGGGGCAGAGACAAGCAGATCTAAGAAACCCTACTGGAGTACAGTAAAGAGCTTAAGACTCAGACTTTCAACTGAAATCATCAATCCCTACCCAGCTCTGGGAAGCACCTGGGTTTATAGCATAGCCAGCCCACGAAGACTGGGCTAAGACAGCTCCTGTCTAGGACCAAGTCTTTTCCCAACTCTCATACAGCATGGTCTTATTCCACGCCTTCAACTACCGGTACCTTTGGATTCTACCTGCACATCTGAACTGTACCTATGGCTAAATTTACAAGCTGAGGTTCATCAGGTTTGAAACCCTTGCTGCTCAAAGAATAATTTGCAAACTGAGAATTCAAGCTATATCATTACAGATGTAACAAAATCATAGTAAGTATTTGAGCAAGATTTCCAGGTGATTGTATGCAGACTCTAGTTTTCTATTCTGGACCAAAAACTTTTATTTACACTGCTGGTTCATTTACATGTCACACTGTGTCTAGGCTTTAGTTTTTATTGTATTATCTGCAACATAGTTCAGGTTTCTATCATCTGTACAGAATTTTCACTAAGTTAAAGTCCTCACTGACCCTAATATTCTCAAAAATGTAAGCCTGTGAGTGATCACCATGTGTGTTTTTTAAATCACATGCTTCTCATCACAACATGTTGTACACAAAATGTCACACTGCTACCATTTCCCTTACCATCATATCTCCTAGAGGAAGCCATGAAGTTTCACCTACATTTTACCTACTCCATGAAGCTAAATTGTCAATGCCAGTTGGAGCAACTGGTACATTTTTAAATAAAATACAGTTCTATGACAGACAATACATGGTATACTGTATGGATTCTGTACTTGAGATTACATAATTTGAAAAAGGAGTCAATTAATAACAGCAATACAAATCACAAAATTACTTCACTCTGATAGATCTGAATAAGAAAATAAAAATAGTACCTCTGGATTTTCACTCAAGTATATTTGTTTAGATATGTTGTTTATTGTACAAATCCACTGAAAAGGAAAAAATAATTAAATGTGATTACTAATTTTTTTCAATAAAGTCTTTCTACTAAGGAAAACTATTCAATATTAAACTGAAACAGAATTTTCATTAGAAGTAGCACATAATCTTCATAAGAAAATACCTTGGGGATGGGGATGTAGCTCAGTGGCAGAGCATATACTTAACAAAACATGTAAGCCTCTGGATTCACTCCCCAGCACCACAAACAAACAAAACAAAAATAAGAGACATAGCTATAAACATATGCATGCAAGCAATATCAGATTAATTATTTTTAAATAAACTTATTTATATAAGGCTATAAATAGTAATTACATTAAGTTGTAACTTAATAGGATGTATTTATCTTTTTATACTACATCTTCCCTTCATTCCCACCAAGCATGGTATTATGAACTCAGTCATCACCATAACCCCTATGTAAAAATTTAAACACAAATTCTTTCTGGGTAATGAACTTTATATATCTTCCTTCTTTCAAAATAGAAAACACTATTTCAGGGCTGGAGAGATGGTTCAGCAGTTAAGAGCATTGCCTGTTCTTCCAAAGGTCCTGAGTTCAATTCCCAGCAACCGCATGGTGGCTCACAACCATCTGTAAAGAGATCCGGTGCCCTCTTCCGGCCTACAGACATACATGCAGACAGAATACTGAGAATACTGTATATATAATAAATAAATAAATCTAAAAAAAAAAAACAAACCAACAACACTATTCCATATCTTCTGCCTTACTCTCAAGGATTCCTGTGCCTAACAAAACTAATACCCTGGTAAACCATACAGAGAGCAAAACATCTGTGTCCTCAAAAGCCACAGCTACTCTTTCCCATGAAAAATAAATACAGGTAGGTCACTACAGAATTTCCAACTATAGGGACTTGAGAGATGGCTCAGTGGTTAACATCACTGACTGCTCTTCCAGAGGACCTGGGTTCAATTCCCAGCACCCACATGGCAGCTCACATTTGTCTATGACTCTAGTTCCTGGGCTTCTGACATCCTCATATAGATAGATATACACGTAGGCAATAAACACAAAATAAAAATAAATTATAAAAAATAATTTAAAAAGAATTTCCAACTCTGTCTTTTACCAATAAAATTATAATACTAAATAAAAATACTTGAAATAAGCTATGGTATATTTCCATGAAGACTATTTCTGAAAAGTCCTTAAAATATCAGTCTTGCTATAATCTTATCTTCCATGTGTTGTATACTAGGAGTAAAAGTGGAGCCAAAACTAAAAGGCTTGTAAGAAAGAACATAGACTCCCAAATCTTTATTCTTCTGTCTTTCACTTTCCCAGCGTTCTAAGCTTTGGCTGCTCTCGGGCTACCACATCTGCTGCCACAGCGCTCCTACCACAGCAAGGAGTGCCCAAGGTCAGTGAGCAGGAGAGTCAACAAAACTGTGGCCCTGACAAGGTCATCACTGAACAAAAGACTTTAAGACAGCACAGAGATGGTGGCTAAGGCCCCTCCAGCTGTAAAACTGCTAGAAAACTAAGACGGCTGCTTGAGAACAGAGAACTTTAAAAATGCTTTTTAATTAACTAGGATTTTTCCAAATTTTCTATAATGAATACATTAATATGTTTTGTTCTCAGAAAAAAACTAGTTTTAAATGTTAAATGTTGCTGAAGAATTAACTTTATAAAAATTTTACCTCTTCGTGGTCTTTTTTACTCTCTGCTTGCAAAATTGAAGATCTAGGGGGAAAAAAGAGTGAAAGCTTTAGCTTCAACTTTAAAATTAAAGAAACAACACAAGTGACAAGATTTTCTGGAAAGAAAACCACTCCAAGAGGTTCTCTACCACACAATGTGCAAAATCATCAGGAGCACCCACACTCGGAAGACAGAACGTAAAAGAAGAAAATGCACTTCAGCTTCCTGGCATTTCTACTGGTGATTTGACTAGAAAATACTAACTTCATTATTGACAGCTTCACACTCTATAAGGTTAAATAAAAGTTCCAACATATGAATCACTAACATAAGTATATGGTTTTTTCCATCTTAAGAGAAAATTGCAGTTTTTCTATCAATTCAGCAAAAACTAAAAATACAAAAATGTAAACATGAGAGTAACTTGCTAGCAACTTGCTAATCCTGCTAATGGAAACAGGAACACTCTAATATACAGCACTGACATTCACTGCATGTCTGTAGAAGGACTAACTAGGAAAATAACTATGTGGCTAAGATACTGAGCAAAATTAGCTTTTATGGAAAAAGGTACCTTAATATACATTACTATTATGGAGTAAAAAAATGACTTTCAGAGAACCAAAAGATTTCTTCTTTTTTTCTTATACATTTTTTTGAAAGATTTGTTTGTTTGTTTGTTTGTTTGTTATATATGCAGTGCTTTGCCTGCATGTACACCTGCAGACCAGAAGAGGGTACTGAAATCCCATTATAGACGGTTGTGAGCCACCATGTTCAATTTCTAGGAACTGAACTCAGAATCTCTGGAAGAGCAGCCAGTGCTCTTAACTTCTGAGCCATCTCTCTAGCCCTGGTTTCTTCTAAGTAACAAGAAAGTCCAAAGGTCAAAATCAATCTCAGCTAACTTAAATATATATCATTAGGAAAATGTTTAAATCATGTTGCATTTTTCTAAGTATTATAATGCAGCCATTACAGATTTTATTTAATTGATTTGTTCTATTTATATGTATCTGAGTTGATGTGCAGTACATGAGTGTAGGTGTCCCTGGAGGACAGAAAAGGTGTCAGTTTCCCTGTTACTGGAACTACTGGCAGTTTTGATCCACCGGATGTGGGTGTTCAGAACTGGACATAGAAGCTGTAAAAGTAGCCAGTGTTCTTAACTGCTATTTCTCCAGTCCTGTTTTTTTTAAAATGGATGCAGATGCAATTTATGTATACAGAATATCCTTCAATTATTTAAGAAAACATACTTAGTAGGCATGGTGGCACACTTATAAACTACTAAACACTCCTAAACTACTTCAGAGACTAAGGTAAGGGGACCACAAATTGAAGGCCAGTCTAAACAACTTACTGAGAACCTGTCACAAAATGGAACTGTATAAAAAGGGCTGTGGTTCTAGCTCTGTGGTAAAGAACTGCCTAGAATGTCAAGGTTGTGGGTTCAAGGAAAGGAGAAGAGGGGATAGGGAGGGGGAAGAAAGGAAAATGCATAAATAAAATTATAGGATTTTTTTCTATTATCCTATTCATATTTATGCTTTTCCAAAGAATTTTCCTACTCTATAGATTCTCATTTAATGCAAAGGCAATAGAATTTTTTAGAAGCATGATAATAATAGACAAAATAAGCTACCCGGAAGTAAGTGATTAACATTTCAAAACAGAACCATTGTTAGAATCTATGTCGCATATGGTGTGTTCAATTTCAACTCCTCACAATAACTGACAGCTCCTCTGCCTATATTTGATGTATAGAAAAAGAGGTCAGAGAGGTTATAAGTAACTTGTCCAAGAACACGGAGTAAATAATAGCCCCTGGCAGGCATTCTGACTTATACTGTCTTCCCAACAGTATATTGGACTCTTCAGTAACTAGTCTCAAACATGAAATCACAGGTTTGCACCATTTGCTGCTTTGACAACTTCAAAGTATTAAAAAAAAAAACCATTTAAGTCAGAAAAAAAATGAACTCATGTCTATTAAATTAGAAAGCAAACTGCCTTAATACAATGCCGGAGGAATTTAGCAGAGTCACTGTAGGGTAGACATTAGAATGACTAGTTTTCACTAGATCCAGGGTAAACACTACAGCAGACAGTTGTTCTCTAGAAGTCCTCTGACCCTGAAGAGTTATTCCTGTGGGAAACAGTGCTTGTTTCCGTGACGGTAGAACTGTCTCCTGAAGGGGTATTGCATCCTTCACATGACACTGGTCACTATAAGCGTCTGGAACACCTGAGGCTCTGAGATTATTGTGTATTGCAAGAGATACACACAAAAAAGGACTAGAGTCATGAGGGTATGTAATGCCTTCTTTTACAGAGGCATATTAGATGAGATAGGGGCCTTGTATGAGGAAATACTTTACCCAAAAAGCAACTTTGTGTAACAATAAATAAATACGCCTTAGTATGGGTGTTGGGGAAAGAGTTCATTTCATCAGAGGCTAAACCTTCCTGCTGCCACACAGGTCTAAAAATTTCATCTTGGAGTGACCTCTTTCTTTGACCAACTCACACAACACAGAACACCTCAACAATACATAGTAATTCTAAATGTCTATATTAAACAAAAAGGAATTATTCTGCATTTTATTTTTAAATGTATGACTTATTAGCAGTAGAAAAATACGAACTTTTTTCCGTCAAAAGAAGTGATCTGAAAACAGTATCGCCTGTCCTCACAGTCCACAGCCATCACTGAGCAGTTGTCTATGTCCATGGCCAGGCCTCCCGCCACGTCTCCACGTGCTTGACTCATTAAGTTTCCACCCTGCGTGAAGTAAAACTGTCTATCCCAGGTAGACGACACCAAGCCTGTTTTACTAAAGAAAGTACATAGATATTTTAATAATGACACCTAAAATCCCTTATCATCTGCAGACACAAGAAAAAGCATGTGAAAACAAAACAACTTGCAAAAAGGCACAAAGATATCAAGAAGATATACACTTTTTCTGACTCTAAAATGATTTTATTCATGTTGACTCACTTGTGTGAAAGTGTACAGTTTCAAAAACAGGACTAGAAATTAGAAGTTGAAGTTGTTGAAATGACACATCAAAAATGTATATTCTAGTTCAATATTCAAGGAAAGAAATTCAATTTTATTTCTAGGATTAATCAGCTTCACCGTCCTATATCAAGTGAAGGCTGGGGACTTAGCTCAATGGAGTAGCGTGTGCGTAGGATACTCAAAACGGCCTGGGTTCTAAGCCAGCATTGATAAATAAAAAGAGACGGGGGCGGGGAGAGGTCTTGACCCAGTTTCAAATGAAAACTCAAATTTGACATGACAAAATAACATAGTTAAGTATGTGATTAATATTAATATAATATTGTGATTATGATAGACTTATTTAGACTCAAATTGGTTTTATCTCTTTTATAAATCCAAATTATTCAATAAATAGTAAGGTAAAAATTTTGTTGTTTTGTTTTGTTTTGAAGGCAGGGTCCCTCTGTGCAGCCTTAGCTATCTAGAAGTCACTTTGTAGATCAGGTTGGACTTGAACTCACAGATATCCACCTGCCTCTGCCTCTCAAGTGCTGGGATTAAAGACATGTACCATCACCAACTGGCTTTACATAGTATTTTTTTAAAGTATTCATGAATGTTCATATGTTATCAGGCTCATATAAGTACACCACTAAAAAGTTTCAACCTTGGGCTGCCAAGATGGCCTTAATGGTTCAAGTCATTTCCTGCCATAGCTAGTGATTTGAGTTCTATCCCAAGCACCTACACAGTAGAAAGAGAGGACCAATTCCAACAAGCTGTCCTCTTACCTCCACTCCTAAACTGTGCTATAGTACGTATGCACAAAATAATAATGATAATAAAAATATGTACACATAAAGAAAATAAAAACATATTTTTTAAAAAAGTTTAAACCTTTAGTAAAACCAAAGTATCTGTATACTAACTATACATTATATTTATTGGATATTACAAGATGAGATGTAAAAATAGCAATAGTTTTCTTACTTCCTAGCATTTAGGTATCCAGCCTTTCGGGTTAAATTTCGATTGACGGGAAACTTGGTGGGATCTGGGTCAGGCACATATAAAGGGTCACTGGCTACTTCCAAGTCTTCTATTGTTTGTTGCATGATCTCTACATCACCATCCATTTCTCTTCGGACACTAATAAAGAAAACAGACCAGTAACTACCAGCCACAACCAACAAAGAATGCTTTATCAATCCTATGTCCCATAAATTTAATTATTTAAAGAAGCAACTATAAGATAGCTAAACACCTTTTAAACGCCTTTTAAAACTTAGATATTTTGGCCAGGCAATGGTGGCACACACCTAAATCCCAGCACTCAGGAGGCAGAGGCAGGCAGATCTCTGTGAATTGGAGGCCAGCTTGGTCTACAAGAGCTAGTTCCCTGACAGGCATCAAAGCTACACAGAGAAACTCTGTCTCAAAAAACTAAACAAAACCCAAAACAAAAAAGACAAACAAAAAAAACCTTAGATATTTTGGAAACAATATCAAATTTGAACACTAGTAAAGTAACTAAACACCTAATTATAAAACAGTTCCCAAAATGCTTTGTGATATAGCAGACTTGTATTTAAGCCTCAGCACTGCAAAAAAAGAAAATAAAACATCCCCAATTTCATCTTTCCCACGCCCCAGATCAACAGTACTGCTACCCAGACAGCAGAGGTGATCACAAGTGCTGTCTCCTAAACACAAGAGCACAAAAAACAAGATTTGCTTAGTAATCTTCCAAGTAATCGTTATGAATGAGACTTCAAAGAAAATTCCACTTAGAAATAATTACTGTTATGTATTTTTATTATTCATATATAAAATTTAGCTTTCAATTACTAAAACTGTTAAATTTCACAGTGTTATAAATCTAGAGTTTACATTCTAGGGAAAAGATAGTAAAAACTCCAAAATTTAGTCATAAAGTTAAGAAATACACTCATGGCAGGAAAACTAAAAGTTGTAAATGTTTAAATTATGGCATCTAGCAGTTAATGCAGTGCCTTACTTTCATTTAATGGAAACAAAGTACTTACTTCTGAACACTTGTTCCGATATTAGCTAAAAATTCTTCCAGCTGTCCATTGAGATTCTCAGAGCCCATCTTAAAGAAACTTATCTGAGGTGGAGGAGGAGTGGAAGGTCATACAACACAAACATGCACACAAAAGATATTCAGAATAAATCTCATCAACAATTTCTAGGACAACATATTAAATAGAAATGACACTGGATTATTCCATTTTTGAAGGAACAGGTTGTGGTTTATGATATCTACCAGACACAGAGCCACTGAGGAAACCAGAATTAAACTCCACTGTGAATTCTCTTACATATTTTAGGAGGGCTCTGCTCGCTGTGTAACCCGGGCGGCCTCTGGCATCAGGCTGCTCTTATGCCCGAAGCGATACTCAAATGTTGGGGTATTTTGTGTTGTTTTTGAGACATGATTTCTCTGTATGGCACACACTCTATAGACTAGGCTGCCTCTGCCTCCAGACTGCTGGGATTAAATGCGTGCACCACCACCTCCTGGCAAATTTCTTTAGGAACTGATCTATTTCCCGAAACTCGAGTTTCTAGCTTCTTTCCTAAGGCGTACCTTTTTGAGCATTTGAACTACATTATTTTTTCATGCATATCAGTGCTCTGCCTGTGTGCATGTCTGTTCATCACATGTATGAACATACCCTTGGAGCTCAGAAGAGCGTGTCAGATCTCCCATCATACAGATACGAAATTGAACCTGGGTCCTCTAGAAAAGCAGTCAGTGCTCTTAACCACTTAGACATCTCTCCAGGCCCCTCATCTATTATTTTTGACTCAGGTAGTATGCAAACTTGCTCATTCTTTCTCAGATTTATGAAACAATAACAAAAAGAAACTCCAGCAGTGGGTATTACACTGAAATTCATCTAGTTTTCTGTTCACTGACTCAACTGTGGTGGATAAAGTCTGAATAGAATGTGCTTTCATTTATTCTATAACATTTTAGAACTTCAAATGCAAAGGAAATCCATTCTCCCAACCTCATTAAAATAGGATACTCATTACAGTCTTTAAAATTACTTTTTAAAATCACAATACAAATTAGTATGTTGACAACAGCTTACAATATTCTTACAGTTAATGCAAATATCAAGCCTAATACAAGGCTTTTAGAATGGATATAACCCAAAACATATTATGGTATTACCTGAGCCTGCATGTATCCAAGTAGAGGTTCTAACAAAGCTATTTTCTTCTTGTACTGAAGAGTATTTAATGCACAAAAATAGTGCATCATTGTCTGGTGCTGTTTCTTCCTGGAAGTATATACATCCTCTGTTACTTCGTACTTTACCTTTGAATGAAGAGTAAAATAATTTTTTGAGTAAAATAGTAATTTTAAATTATCTTCAATAGAAGTTATGAAGAACAGTTTACCAAGGAAAACAGTGTATGAATAATCAATGAATGTAGCTTTTCTATTTTCTACTCTATTCAAAAGCCATTACACACACTGAGTAAACTGATTTTTCTGTTTTCCAATCATATCCCTTACAAAAAGGCATATCAACATACAGCTACAAATGCAAATATCTGCAACAAGCAGGACTGAGAGAGCCCGCCATACTTAGCCAGTGATATCCAATCTTATTTCACTCACACCACATATTCTCTCTTCTGGGTTTCTCACTACCAGTCTTTTTTAACCTGCTTATAGTAATAGTTTATTTATGTTTTAATAAATAAAACTTGTCTGAAGATCAGAGGGTAAAACTAAGCCACTAGAGGCCAGGCAGTGGTGGCACATGCCTTTAATCCCAGCACTAAAAGGGAATATAAAATGGAGGAGACAGACGCTCAGGGCTCAGTTTTCAGTCTCCCAGTCTTGGTAGAGGTAAGACTTTAGTGGCTTGGCTGTTTTGCTTTTCTGATCTTCAGCTTGAACCCCAATATCTGTCTCTGAGTCTTTATTATTCATACTGCACCTGCTCATTTTCCTTAACTCACATTTAAAATAAACATATTTCCCTGAGTTATTTTATTCAACAAATTTTCATTGAGCATTTCTAGAGGTCTAATATGTATTAGGAGGCTCTTTCCCTCCTTCCCTTTGAATACCTATCAAGTTCCAACATTATCCCAATGCACCAGTGACTTGGTGGCGGTAAATTCTCATCTCCTCCCTGGCACTCTCAAGCACCAGAGGAAAGGTGGTTCTTCATGTGCTTCTGTGTATAAAAACGGGTGTTTATATGCAACGGAAATGCACAAAATCAAAACCAGCTTCTTCCTCATGACACCTGTCCTTCCTTGTTTTATCTTACTTCTCTCTAGGAAATGTCAGTTTGGAGTTCACCTCCTACTATAGGACTTGCCATTTCTCCTTATCTGTCTCTCAAAAGTACAGCTGAAAAGTGTGTCTCAGTGGTAGAGTGTCTGCCTACCATTCACAAAGCCCTGGATTCATTTACCAGTGCGAGATGAGGAACAACTCTCAAAACTCCTTTTTCTCCTCTTTTAGTAAGAACCTTTATTACAACTATACAAACTATTTTAGGGCTCTTTTACTGTATTCGCTCTACTACTGTCCCTTTCACATTTTCATTATAGCTTTTGTTATATAACTGTATGATGTTACCCACTTAAAACCCTTTGATAACTACTTTCTTCCCCGAACACAAATTTCAAGGCCATAAATGTAGTAATTTGGCCCCAAACTATTCTTTGTTGGGCTTGGGGAGGTGGGGCGCTGTTGGTCTGTTTTAAAACAGTGTCTCATTCTGTAGCCCAGGCAAGGCTTGAACTCCAGGGTGGCCTCAAACTTTCAGTGCTCCGCCTGCTTTTGCCTCCCAACTGCTGGGATGACATATATGAGCTACAACACCCAGCCCCCAACTACTTTGTTATTCTGTCATCTCTCCCCAAACATATCCAAAGAAATGAAGGTAATGGTTTCCTCCCATCTCCGCATGCTTAAAATTTAGTAAAACCTGCCAAAACTCTGCATTAATTAGCCAATTTTATTTTCACAATTGTTTCATGGATTTTTGCTTTACATAGAGAATAAAGGCATAAAAGTAAGTAACTAGTACGTGATTTCAAGTAAAGTAATAGCAGACCTCAGATATGTCCCCAAAATCTTACCCTAGCACCAATATTCTAAACCCTTATATTCTCCAAACTCCAGAAACATGCCTCCACAGAATTGCTTTGATTTTAGAAATTTTTGTTGTTTCGTTTGGAATTTGTTTGTTTGTTTGTTTAGGAAAGTCCTTTTTAATCCCCAAAGTGTTGTCTACTTATCTACAATGCACATGTCACCTCCTAAGTATTTTTTTCAACTCACCAATAAAGCTCTATCTGTACAACTAGCAAAATCTCTATTACTGCATTTATCTCATGTTAATCTATAGTCTCTTCATCTTTGTACTCTGGAATGTATATGAGAGTAAGAGTGAAGCCTACTCACGTTATTCCCCCAAGGTATCCAACATACTGCTTGATAAATAGATGTTCAACAATTATTCTAATTTTAAAAAAGGTGAATGCTTTTTAAAAATACTTGGAATAGCCAAAAGCAATATAAAATATGATAAATGTTATAGCCTAGACCCTATATACTCCTCTAAGGCAAAAAAAAAAATTTAAAACTGTGCATGTTTTATTGGGCAATTTGTGAACTAAATTAGACACCAAAGCCAGTTTGGGGGAATTATCACTGGGTGAGAATCATTCCCTTTGCTGTCACAGTGGCTGCTGCACATTAAATGCTACTCAGCTGTCAGTCCCCATAAGCGGTCAATGAGCCTCTGCCTGCAGCTGTGGCCAGGGCTGCAAATACCAAGGCCTGCACAGAGATCCCCTCATGTGCAAGCATTGGTACAAGCTATATCTCAAGCCTTGAAATCACCTAGAATTTGGTAATATTCTCTTTTTTAATCTTTATTTAACTGCTTTTGTCCACAAATCTTATGTGATACTTCTGGGTTTCATTCCTTAAAGAAATATCAAAACATAAATATTTCCTTTAAGTAGAGAAAGCCTCATACCAGAATTTCATTGAGTTCTGTGTGTGACAATTCACTGAGGTTGTGTAGGACTTATTCTTCTTGTTTTAATCATATAATTTTTTAATGAGTTTCCAGGACAGAGTATTACCCAATTTAAGGTTAGCTTTTCCTCACCCAAATTACCATAAATACTTATTTATATACTTACATACAGACTTTCATATAACCTGAACACAAAACTGAATTACCTTTTTCTTTTTGTAATTTTTTCCTTCCTTTTTGAGATTATAACATAAACACAACATTTCTCCCTTTCCTTTTCTCCTCCTAAAGTTTCTGATGTACCCCTCCTTGTTGTCTTTAAAATTTATGCCCTCTTTTTTATTGTTACTGCATGCATATACTGTATCTCACAAGGTATTTCTGAATACATATGTGATCACATGAAAACAGAACATATGCAGTATTATTAAAAATACAAAAAAAACAAGTTTTATATACTAGGAATCAGCTTCATTTTTAAAATGGTTATGCTTAATTATAACATCAAATACTGGCAGAAGAAAAGCATTTTGTTTAAGAGACCAGTTATTTGAAAGATTCTGAACAGCTAGGAAAAATAATTTGAGAGTAATACCACAGCAATGATCTGTTGGCTCTACTTTTAAACAGAAAAAAACTAAATCGCCTAATGAAATGGCCATTAACTATGATACTGAAAACGTATACTGAGATGGGAGAGATAATGGCTCAGCAGTAATGAGCACTCGCAGCTCTTCCAGAGGATTCAAGTTCAACTCCAACACCCACATGGTGGCTCACAACCCCCTGGCAGTTCGGTTCCAGGAGCTCTGACTCCCTCTTCTGGCCTCCCTCACACTTAACACACATGGAACACAGACATCCCTGCAATCAAACAGCTATTCACATAAAAAAAAAATTAAAAATGTTTTTAAAAGTGTGTATACACACCTTGTCATTTTCTCTCTTTTTTGACAATCGACTATATCTGTTAATTGCAGCATCATGATCTGGAAAACAGAAATGAGCGTTAACAGTACAACTGTACTTAGCAAACCTACATCTGTACTAGAGCTAGTTAAGAATGCCCTTCCACGTGACCACTATGTTCAGATTTCCCCACAGCCTAGTTTCCCTTAAATTAGGTGACTATATATCAAACTGATAAAAAATATCAAGTTCCAAAAAAACTATGACCTACTAAAAGTACCTGTTCTTTTTCAAAGGAAAATGGAGAAGCAGTGGACCTGAGGGAGGGGGAATGACTGGGAGGAATGCAGAGAGGGGAGGATGAGGTCAAGATGTTTTGTTTAAGAGAAGAATAAATAAAAAGAAAAAGAAAAAAATTATTTTTAATTCTAAATTGAAAAACTCTTTTTAAAAAATTAGGAGCACTCAGTGGTAGAGTGTTCGCCTAGCATGCACAAGGCCCTGGCTTCAAAACCTAACACAGAAAGAGAAGAGAAATGAGATGAAAAGAAAGAGGAAGAAAGAAAACTGGACTATTTAAGAAATAAGTAGAAGAGAATATTTACAACATCTTTAGGCATTATGAAGATAACAAGTTATAAGACTGATGCAATAGTCACTCAAATGTTTTTTGTAAAAAGTATATTCAAAGTATCTCCACTGATTTAAATAATGTTGGCTGGGTGGTGGTGGTGCATGCCTTTAATCCCAGCACTCAGGAGGCAGAGGCAGGCGGATCTCTGTGAGTTCGAGGCCAGCCTGATCTACAAGAGCTAGTTCCAGGACAGGCTCTAAAACTACAGTGAAACCCTGTCTTGAAAAACCAAAAAAAAAAAAGTTATATTAACCATTATATATTAACTTTGACACCCTATACAATGACCCTAATGCTTTCAACGTAGACTACAATGACAAACACTTAAGCAGCTATTTGTACACCAGAGACCATGAGAAAGTATTAAGTATTGACAGGAGCGAGATAGAGGAAGCTATCAAGACAGCAAAATGCAGAAAGGCCCCAGAAGTGGATGACATCACAGTGGAGGCGCTGTAGGTGGCTACAGTAGGCTCAGTGTCTGAGGCACTTCTCAGACTCTTCAGAGAGATATGAGAACACAAAGTGATTCCAACGGAATGGACGCACTCAGTCAGAATTCCCATACACAAGATGAAGGATAAGCTGGACTGCTCAAACTTCAGGGGCATGAGTTCGTTGTGCCATAGCAGCAAGATCTTCTCCTCCATTATCCTGCAAATGATCAAGGGCAGAGCAGAGGAAATCCTAGTAGAGGCCTAGTGCATATTCAGAGCTAACAGGAACACAATTGACCAGATCTTCACTTTGAGGCAACTGGCATAAAAATACAAAGAAGTTGGAAAAGACTTATCTGTCTGTTACATCAACTTCAGGAAGGCATTCAATAGCATTTGGAGGAAAAGACTTTGGGAAACAATGAGGTTCTACAAGCACCCAGAGAAAATCATAAGAATACTAGAACATGCCTATAAAGATACCTTTACATCAGGCATAGTCTATGGAGGATTAAGTGATCAGTTTACGACAATTGTGGGAGTGTTGCAGGGATGCATCCTCACCACTACTCTTTAATATATTCCTGGAATTAATAATAGCATGAGCCCTGCAGGATGAAAAGATAGGCGTGCAGATAGGTGGTGTGCAAATCAATAACTTGTGTTTCACAGATAATACAGCACTACTTGCCGAAAGTCCAAATGAGTTACAGGCCATGGTAAACAGAGGGTGGAAGCCAGTGAAAACCTTGGCATGGAAGTAAACATGGAGAAGACTGAGATACAACACATGGGAAGGGCACACAAGGATTTTAACATTGTAATAAAGAATCAGAACCTCAAGCAGACAGTCAACTTTGTCTATACTGGAGGAAGCTCAGTTCAAAGGAGGGAACTATTTCAGACATCAAAAGTTGAATAGGGTTTGGGAGGACTGCATTCCAGGCACTAGAAAGGTTTGTGAGCAAGAGACATAAGACAGCAACAAAATTACAAGTGTATGAGACGCTTGTCTTAAGCTGTCTTCTTTACAACTCTGAAACCTAGACTCACAGGGACCGAATATGTTTGAGATGGCATGTCTCAGGCGAATTCACACGAAGAGATAGGTTGTACAGCAATGACGTTAAAAGACTTTCCATCTACAGAAGGAAGTAAACTACAGGATACAGCATCAGCCCTTGAGATACTTCAGCTGTTATGAGAATGAATGACGGCAGACACCCGAAGACAGCACTGCTTGGAGGAGTACACAGGATAAGACGAAGAGGAAGGTCCAAAAAACGCTGGATAGACAACATAAAGGAAGACGTGGAACCTCGGGTATGACAATAACACAAGCATCTAGGACTGCCCAGGATAGGAACAAATGGAGAACCATCATAAACGGCTGTCCATGCATGCTTAAGCATTGTCGGGGCATAAATGATGATATTACCCACTGAACTGAGTTAATTTTTAAAAATTATTACAAAAAGTCAGCCATGATGTATGTTGATAAATAGATGAATAAAAAAAATCAGTGTATAACATATTAGAGCTTACCATTACTAGCAATCTGAAATACCTCTTTTAGTGTCAGTATTTCTGAAAAAGTTCAAAAATAATTTCAGTTTAGCAATACTTATGAAATGTTTTATTCTATTTATAAAGCACTTAGTACCACTTAAACCATAACTAAAACTCAACCAGGAATTTATATTGAAGGTGGAAAAGTTAGTTTCAGTTAGTCTACAAAGGATTCAAAATCATTAACAATACACCACCAGAAGATCTACTTACCATAAATATTAAAAGTCACGTTAAGTGCTAAGAAACACAAATACTGGCAATATCAGAATCTATCATATTAATATATGTTTTATATATGATTAATATTTTAAAATACTAAGTGAAAAAGAAAAGATTGTGCCATTCAGTCTCCTGAGATTGTGAGTTATTCTTCCCACCTTGGACTGACCATTCTTAAGGATCATTTCAATTATTAGCTCCACCTCTTAAAGACACTTGTCTTTAAGCACCTAACCTATTCATTGCTGTGCTTGATTTTTCTTAACCTACTTTGAGTTTATAAATTATTAAAAAGAACCAGATATAATAAACACTCATTTGATCACCTACCAACCTTAAGAGACATTATCTACCAACTAGTAAGTCCACTAACTACTGCGATTGTTGGATGTGCCTGTGTGCTGGCTCCCCCAGCCCATATGTACCTCCACTCTTCAGTACCATCATCTGCCATTCTTCTTTTTCCCTCACTGGATTCTTACAGCTTCTTAGTTTCCTGGATATCAAATCCACAGTGTTCCCTCTGAACACAAATGGACTGTGTCACCTAACTCCTTTAGAATCCACTGGCTTGTTTTTGTTCACAGACTTAAGTCCAACACCTTTACCATGCTTTAGTTCCATCTAACCTATTTCTACATTCATCTTTTGATTGCTTCAGCACATCTAGCACTGAATTTCTTATTATTCTCAGAATAAGTGATCTATTTCACAACCTACACCTTTGTGAATTCCATTCTCCTTAACAGAACAACTCCTTTCTCTTAACACATTTTCTTCATTCATGTCATTGATGAAGCCTTTTTGACCATTTCCTCTGAGCGCCCATAGAACCTTCTTATTCCCTAATTACAAGACACTGACTAGTGCTAACCCACCTCCTTTTTGAGGAAAGGACGTTATTATTTGCTAGGAACTAGTTAAATATCTATCAAGCATTTCCATAAATGTTTAGTAACTGCTTTAAGTAAAAGTGGCATGTTGTAGTCAGAACTGATTCAGATAAGAAATAAAATGCACTCTACTAGCACTGATGAAAATGAACATAATGTTGACTTCCATACCTTTCAGATCTCTTTCTTTAAACTGGGAAATGGGGAACATCATGGCATCGGCAAGTTGAGTTGAAAGTACCGCATGACAAGAACTAAGCTAGTAAAAGAAAAACCAAAGAGACCAAATAACTAACAGATGGCACAACTAATAAATGCCTACACATAGGCATTTACCAATCATATAGAAATTTGAATCTGGTCTTTTAAAAGGCTGATATATTTTTACATACAGAAACAAAAATTATGCAGTATAATATGAAATATTATATGGTAAAAAGGAAATTCCTACCAGGAGGTGGTGTCACAGATCTTTAATTCCAGCACTTGAGAGGCAGAGGCAGGAGGATCTCTGAGTTCAAGGCCAGCCTGGTCTACAAAGTGAGTTCCAGGACAGCCAGGGCTACAAAGAGAAACCCTGTCTCAAACAAACAAACAAACAAAACAAAAAATCCTTATTTTTCTATTTGTTTTCTTTTGTGAGACAGGGTCTCTCTACATAGCTGTAGCAGCCCTGGAACTCACTATGCAGACCAGGCTGCCCTTGAACTCAGATAATACTCAGCTATAATGAGTTATTAGGACATTAGAAAAACTGGGGCTAGGTGGTGGAGGATTTACCAAGCTTGAGGCCCTGGGCTGGATCCCAAGCATGTATGTATACGAGGATAACCACACAATCACTCACAGCTTTTACAGCAGGAATAGAAAACAGTTATAGTTTTCCAAACACATCTCACTACTTTCCTTCTAACTTCTAGGCCTTCACGTTGTTTTATGATCTGTTACGATTAACAGTTTAAGAAATTAAGGACTAATTTTGGCTACTGGATTAATTTGGCTATGGATTAATAAGGATTGAACAGTAAAGTGTTGCTCAGGGGCAAAAGAAAACCCACAAAGTGACTAGCTACAGCGGACAGCTTCACTCTTCTCTGTCTACATCAGACAACAGTGAGAAAACTGAAGGATCATGGACTAGGAATAGAAGAAGCCTACATATAAGCTTATTCTTGGGAAAAAAACGTTTTAATTAGGTAAGAAAATATTAATTTTATGAAAACAAACATCATGTGAAACTTGTGCCTTTTAATACTACTCTGTAATAAAACTTCTTATAGAATCATAACTATATTGGTTCCCCCATTAAAGACTGTAAAGATGGCTCAGTGGGTATTAATCACCTACTACCAAGCCTGATGATTGATATCTAATCCCAAGACTCAGATGGTAGGAGAGAGCCTATTCCTGCAAGTTCTTCTCTAACAGCCACACATAAACTACGGTACCCTAGCACTTACACACAGACACACACAAAATAAATAAAATATAATCAAATGTTTATAGTTTTCAGTAAAAGCTAAATAACTTGAGTAACTAATTATAAACCACCGACTCACACAGGATCAAAACTCACCTCATCTATAACCTTTGCAAACTGCTGCAGAGTAGAGCTCATGACCTCATCATCACCCCCTAAAGGGAAACGCTGAGAAGTGAGAAACACAGGTGAGATAAATGCTCAAGGCTGTAGTTCTTATGAATAACACAACTTGTGCTTTCAAGTAATTTTAGAAACTTCTAAAATTTTGAACATACTCCCAAAATACTCTTTTAATAAAATAATCTACAAAATTAGTAAACACTGTTTTAAATGTCTGTAAAGTAATCAACTAACATGATATACGGGAATATATTCAATACTAGTTCAGAGATTTGGCTTTAGCTCAGGTTCCAGCTAACAGCATAACCTTGAACAAAGCTCAGTTTCTTTGTTAGTAAAGAGGAGAACTCTGAAAAATCAGACAACCTCAGTTCTAACATTAAATCACTAACAAGGACTTAGTGAAATTTCAATGGCGTATTTTGTAAACTCAAGAAGTCCTAAAAGGCCATGGTAGTGAAAGCCTGGATTCCCAGCACTCAGAAGGCCAAAGCAGGAGGACCATAGAATAGCCTGAACTATATAGTGAGTCCCTTGCTCTAAAACACTAAAATAAAAGATTATGAATAAAAAAGTTTTTTATATATACACACAGACACACACACACATATATAGTAATATATATATAGTTACATATGTTAAATCATGATTTTAAACCTTAATATATGTACCTGTTTTTCATATTCTTTTAAAAGTTTCGATGTTAGGTGTGTTGCTGCACTTAATTCATTCTAAAGAAAAAAAAAACAGGATTCACATCAGCAGAAGATTATAGTTAATAAAAATGTAACTGATGATATCTAGGCCACCTTCATTTATCATCACATTATGCTATATGCATATTTTTTAACTTCTCAGAAATAAAAAATGAACTACCACTAAAAATGCTTCAAAAGAAAATGTAAACCAGAAAAGAGGCACTGTCAAAAAATCCAGCAATATTACAGAAATGTAACATTTTTCATTTTTTTCTTTTCTTTTTTCAAGACGTGAACTCTGGGAGGCAGAGGTAGGTGGATCTTTATGAGTTCAATGCCAGTCTGGTCTACAGAGTGAGTTCCAGGACAAGTTCCAAAGTTACACAGAGAAACCCTGTCTCAAAAAAAAAAGAAAGGAAGAAAGGATGGAAGGAAGACAAACAAACAAGATATGGACTCCTATAGCCCAGATTGCCCTCAAACTTGCTAGTAGCTGAGAATGACCTTGAACTCCAACCTGATCCTCTTGCCTCTGCCTCCCAAGCCCTGAGATCACAGACATGTACTACCATATCCAGCTTCAGATCTATGTGTTTTACCTGCTTTTGGTTTTGAGGGTTTCTGCTAGTGAAAACTAAACAATAAATATCTTAAAAGCTAGAAGTAAACTGTACGTAATGTCAGCAAAATTTGTAGAGTTTCTATGAGAATGATTGATTAGTTATCAATCTAGAGAAATACGAGCATTTGATAATGTAAAAAATAATGTGCTTAACATAGAACATAACAAAGCAACACAGCCAGATGAATGGTATTTTGATTAATTTTTTTCAGTCATGATATAATAAAATAATGCTTCATTTATCAACTGCACATCTGTGGTCAGGATGAAGCATTGCAAAACCTATGGGGGGGAATACAACTATCACAGCAATAGACAGGAGGAGAAGGAAAACAAAACAAAATTAACTTAACTAATCCCAAATAAAGTACATCAATAGATAATAGGCTGCTGTTAAAGCTTATAAATTATAAGAACATAGCTTCAAGTTTTAAGTCTATTCAACAAGAAAAATTGGTCATAGCCTTCTACTAACTAGACAGAGGCTAGCTACTTTCAAAGTCTTTAATCAAAAAAAAAAAAGGAGGAGGACTCCTTAAAGTTAAAAGTATGATTAAGTTAAATACAACAATATGAGGTTTTCAGTTAATCCATCAATGAATTCCCGTAAGAAAGCTCTTACGGCACCAGGCACTGCACGCCTGCCTCCCTACTAGGAAGACTGCAAATTTTTTTTCAGAGAAAGGGAGGAGAGGTTTCCATCATGTTGGCTGTCGACTCTCCCTGTATGTTAAACCCTTTATCAGTCTACTCAACATTTCTATCCTGAAAGATTTTTAACGAAGGGAAAAAAAAAACAGCAGTAACGCTCATTGGTGAGCAGCTAACTCCTACACACGACACCCTGCTTTCCACACAGAACTAGCCAATGTTAAACAACTCACATGTAAATGCTTTTCCCATTTCACACCACTGTATTATACGTGTATATGGGGACTCCTTTTCCAGAAACTTTCCTTACCTGCTGGTTGTCTTGCTTTCTGGGTTGTTTTTACTTACGAAATATTACTCATCTGCCAGAGGGGACAGAGGCATCTTGTGGCATTTCCCATGTGGTGTCCTCCATGGCCACCCATTAACCCCAATTCCTATGCAGAATATACTCTGTGGTCCCTCCCCACATGCCCACCCTAGGGCTGTGGGAGGGGGGCTCTTGTGTTAATGTCAGGATTCTCAAATGACATTTTCATCAATTAAAGAAAAATAAATCTACCTCTACCTTCATAACTATAACTGCCCAAGCCCTTGCACCCTCCAGTCCTGCGCTGCTGCTAATGACAATATGATGGCTTCCTCTGCTACTCAAGAACTACTGTTATGTAATTAATGTATGCTTTCTTGTTTACAAATGCCTGGTTTTAAAAAGGAAAAAGTCTGGCATATTTATCTAAAAAAAAGAAAGAAAGAAAGCTAGCTCTCACTATGTTTGAGGAGATGGAATGGACCCTACAATCCTGTCACTTTTTTAATACTATAAATCTAACCAAAATGTAAGTTCTGTAATATATTTAGTATATTTGTCTTTGTTAGGGCTTCAACTGCTGTGACATGAAACCATGACCACAACGCTTATAAGGAAACATTTAACTGGGGCTGGTTTACAGTTTCAAAGGTTTAGTCCATTATTGTCATTGCCAGAAATATGGCAGTCAGCACGTAGGCAGACATGGTGCTGAAGAAGGGGCTGAAAGTTCTACATCTTGATCTGCAGACAGCAGAAGTAAATGCCATACTAGACCTAACTTGAACATATACGACCTCAAAGTCTACCCCCACAGTGACACACTTCCTCCAACAAGGTCACACCTCCCAATAGTGCCACTCCCTATGGGTCAACCATCAAACACATGCACATCTGGGGGCCGTTCCTACTCGAAGCACCACAGTATACATTTGTCCTTTCAACAAATCCTACTCTAGGCCTAGGAACAGGTGAGATACATAGCAGTAAGTCCAGTAGACACCACCTCTGTCCTCAGTGCTGAGAGTCTCTTTTAACCAGTATGGTGTTAGCCTTTTAATTCTTTACCTGTGCGTCATAAATCCGGTGCATAGCTTGATACAACTGGTTCATATAATTGGATATAGCGGTAGCATCTTCTTCAAATACACCCAGTAAAGACCTTGTCTTTAAAAAAATAAAAATTAAAAAAATAAAAATAAATTCAAGTTTACATAAATCAGTATATAAATCAGACAATGAAACACTTTTTTTAAAGCAGTAAAATACTAGAACTTTAGTAATCTATTTAAACACTTTTGATATTAATGTCAAGAAGTCAAAAGATTTTTTTATTCTGCTTCATTTCATTAAAGTAGCTCTTTAAAGCTGGGCATGGTGGTGCACACCTTCAATCCTATCACTTAGAAGATGGAGGAAGAGCAGATCTCTGAGTTTGAGGCTAGCCTAGTCTACAGAGAGAATTCTAGGGCACCAGAACCACACAGAAACACAAAAAACAACAACAAAAGAAAGTAGCATAAGCAAGAAGAACAAAGGTACAAAGGTGTGTTTTTTACAAATTAAAATTCCTGACATTAAAGCTAAAAACAGGATGCATGGTAAAAAAAAAAAAAGAAAAGAAAAGAAGAAGAAGAAGAAGAAGAAGAAGAAGCAGCAGCAGCAGCAGCAGCAGCAGCAGCAGCAGCAGCAGCAGCAGCAGCAGCAGCAGCAGCAGCAGCAGCAGCAGCAAAGCAAAGCAAAGCAAAGCATGATAGCCAAATTAAAGAAAAAAAAAAGTAGGGGACAATGAAAGTTTAAAATCTAAAGGATGATGCTACCCCACCCCAATACACACATACAGTTCAGTGAAGATATGGCAAGCTGGCCTTAAACCCATGGTGTTCATTCTCCTTCAGCCTCTGAAGCGCTGAGACTACAGGCATGAGCCACCACACCTGGACAGACTTTATATTTTTATTGACTAACTTCCTGTATTCAAAGGAAAAACTTAAGCAATTGGGTTTAGGGTGTATCACAAGACCTCTGTGACCATATGAAGTCCACAGTCTCATACTCTACTTCACCAAGCCTTTTACACACATGCACTACCATTGGTCAAATGTAGCAGACTCTTCTTTCCTCTAGTGGTCCATTCTCTGTCTCTCAAGTGTTGTTTTAAAACATTAAACAAGAAGAAAGCTAGGCCTAAGTGGTGTTAATCCTAGCACTTGGGAAGCAGAGACAGGTGGATCTCTGAGTTGTAGGCTATCCTGTGGTGTGGGAGAATTGTCTTTATTCTGTCAATGATATTTTAATAAAATGCTGATTGGCCAGGCAGGCAGTATAGGCAGGAAAACCAGACAGGAAGTAGAGGTGATGCAATGAGAACAGGAGAATTCTGGGAAGCAGAGAGGTTCCTCTGTCACTCCTGCGCAGACCACCGAAGAGGCAACATGTAAGCTGTCACACTGAGAAAGGTACTGAGCCCGTGTGGCTAACATAGATCAGAATAATGGGTTAAGATAAGTCATAAGAATTAATAAGTAGCCTGACCTAATGGGCCAATCAGTTTATAACCTTATGGAATCTTGTGTGTGATTTTCTTTGTTGCTTGCCAGCTGTTGGGGTACTTGGAGGGATGGAAACCCCAACAAGTCGGCCCCCTCATGTTACAATCCTGGTCTACAGAATGAGTTCCAAGACATCCATGGCTACACAGAAAAGCCCTGTCTCAAAAAACCAAATAATAATAATAATAAATTAACAAGATTCACTGTGAGTCCTATTTTCAAAACAACATAGACAAAACATGTTCTAGTAGAAGCTTAAATTTTTCCCTTCAGATCTTTTGTCAGTATACAACTTTCAATAATACCTTTAAGTTAAATAAATTAGATTTGAACTTTGAAAGCTTTATTATAAATCAAAACTTTAAAAAAAAAAAAAAAGGAAAAAAGAGCCAGACGCCAAGCAATAGTGTCACACATCTTTAATCCCAGCACTCAGGAGGTAGAGGCAGGTGACTCTCTATGAGTTCAAGGCCAGCCTAGGCTACAAATGGAGTTCCAAGATAACCAGGACTATTACACAGAGAAACCCTGTCTCAAAAAAAGAAAAAGAAAAAGAAAAGAGTACATTAGGAGCTTTGAGAATTTTCATATTCTTTATTATTCTTATTGGCTTACTTTCTAGATAAACTGGGAAAGACATATATCAAAAAACATTATTCTCAGTCCTATTTATAAAAGTAGAACTAGGAAAAACTCTGAAAGTACAACAGTGAGAGCTGAATATGGTACACCAGCTGTAGCCTCAACTAGTCTGGAGGCTGAAGCAGAGGGATCTCTCGAGCTAGCCTGAGCAACACAAGAGTTTCCTCTCAAAACAAAACAAAGATCTTTTTAAAAGACATGAAAGAAAGAGACTTGTTGGGAAGAGAAAGGGAGAACAAGAGAGGTAAGAGACAAATACAACAAAAATGGAAATGTCATAATAAGATCCATTGTTATGTGTAATTAATATATGCTATAAAATATTTTAAGAGATGCCTGTTAAATCACTTAAGGAAATACACAGGCTTGGCATTTTCAATTCAGAATACTATGAAGACATTTAAGCTATAAAGGGGCCATGTAAAAAGCTGGGTATGGTGCAGGTGCACGTAATCCGAGTGCTGGGAAGGCATAGACTAGACGAGCCTTGGGGCTTGCTGCAAGTCAGCCTAGCCTACACGATCCCTCGAGAGACCAAGGTCTCTAAGGGAGACACTATCTCAAAAAAATAAATAAATAAATAAAAAATAAAAACCAGCTAGGCAGATGCTGAAGAGGAATGACACCTCAGGTTGTCCTCTAACCTACACATGCATGCATATACAAGAATAGTTGCATACACTTAATCACACATTAAAAGGGCTGGGAAGGTGGCTCAGTAGATAGAGCACTTACCCTGCTAGCGTGAGGACCAGAGTCCAGCTTCCCCAAAACCCATGTAAAAACTGTGCATGTGTGGAGATCATATGTGCTCTCAGCACTTATAAGACAGAGACAGGATACCTGGGGCAAGCTGGCAAACTAGACTAGCTGAATTAGCAAACCCGGGGTTCAGAGAAAGACCCTGTCTCAGTAAATAAATGATAAGCAATCAAAGAAGATAAATCAATTTTGGGCCTCCATGAACATGAGCACACACACAGGGATGTGTAAACACATATATACATACATGTATAATACATATACATACAAAAATAAATAAAAGCAAGATTGAAGATTTATCTTAGTGGTACAGCATTTACCTAGCAAGTGCAAGGTCCTGGATCCAGTCTCCAGTTTCAAAAAATCATTGTTTTCAATTAAAAAACAGGGGCTGGAGAAATGGCTCAGTGGTTAAGACACTGACTGCTCTTCTAGAGAATCTAGGTTCAATTTTCAGCACCCACATGGTGGCTCACAACCAATCAGTAACTCCAATTCCAAGGGATCCAACACCCTCTGCTGATCTGTTGGGGCAACAAGCATGCAAGTGGTACACAAACACATGCAGCCAGAACACCCATATACATAAAAACAAATTATAATTAGAAATAACAACAACTGAAAGTACTTGTGGTTCAAGTAGTCAGAAGCCGGAGAAGGCCTGTTTGAGGCCAGCCTGGGCTACAGAATGGGCCTGATTCAAGTTACAAACTAATTACACAGAAAGTTCAAGATTATTTCGACACTGAAAGTCACAGATAGGGCACTGTGCAACTCATTCTCTTTTAGTCTTTATGGGCTATAAAAAGGAAACCGGGTAAAAGAAGTTCAGTCTTAATTAAGTACTGAGTCTTAATTTTTAAAAAGCAAAAAGATAAAATTATTCTGACCAATACAACCACAAAATTCTTGCAAATCAATATAGCTTAAGATTTTACACTGAGAAAGTCATTAAACAAAATATAAACGTGCTGTGAGATAACCCAGCTTGTGGGTGTCTCTTTCTCATGTGGCCTGATAAGAGTACATTACCTCCGAGCAACTGGCCTATAAAGATAGCTTTCAGAATGAGAAGAGAGTAAATCAATTCTACAATCAGAGCCAAATTTCAACCTGGAAATCAAAATTGGCACAAAATCCATGGCAAAAGTGTCATCCAGGAAAACAAGCTCTAGCCCTCTTCTTTTTCTTTTTTGAGGAAAGGGGAGCACATTACACTATAAATACATAAGAAATATGCACTTCTCAGCAATATATTTAACAATTAAGATAATAATAATATTTAAGAAATCCACCAGCAACGTTGCTTTATATATAAAGCCATCTATAAAAGCCCTTACTATCTATATAAAGGCGGATATAAAATGGAAGTTGATGCAAGTCGGAGGCCCTAACACCTTTTAAAATACAACTGATTTCATGCGGTACTGAAGAAGAAACCCAACAGTTATATTTTCCCAAACTGTCTACAGCTAGAGCAACCACACCAGCATCATCCCCAACGCACAAAGCAGGGTTTTCATTCTGATGAGTTTATTCGGGCCAAGTCTGCAAGCCAAGGCTCAGCAGCGTAGGCGTCTTCCGTCACCCGTGTGGTGCACAGCTCAAGTGACAGCCACCGCACAGCAGAGACTCGGACACCGACACAGCGCGGAGGAGCCAGGCGCGTCCGGCCCGCTGCCCCTTCCGAAGAAAACCAGCCGCTGCCGTCCCCTGCGCGCCAGGCCTCCTCCGACTACCAGGACTTAGCTCGCCATCGCGACACAAACAGCACCGCCAGTGAAAGGCAACGGAGACCCGGCGCGGATTCCGGCGCCAGGCCAGGCCCCACCGG